TGACAGACAGACAGACAGACAGACAGACAGACAGACAGACAGACAGACAGACAGACGGACAGACGGACAGGCAGACAAAGGGAGATCAAGAGGGACAGGAAATGTTTGGATTGGTTTGCAGATTTTGCCAATTTTGATGAGAATCTTTATAAAAGTTAAGGATTACAATTATTATACATCCGCTGCCTAATGGAACCCAGTCATACTTCAAGCTTCCCCCAAATAGATAAACAGAGATAAGCGATAATTATTGTACTTCCCAATACGGGATTCAAACTGAATTCTTTTGCAAACGATGCGAAAAGCCGTACGATTCTACAACATGCTTTGTTTCAGTAAAGAGAAACACATCGACACAATAATGGCCATGTAGTGGTGGAAAAAAATGCAAGACAGAGAGAAACAACAGAGAGAAAGTTAAGAAGTACAACCTACCAGTGGCGCCCTACAAATACACAACATGCGTCATTTTGCAAACAACAGCACGGAACATAAACAGTTGGAACAATACAACAGCTGTCAGCTTCTTCAATGATGAGGTGAGAAATAAAACTGGAATAATTTGCTGCATCGAAAAACAATATGACTCTATTATCTAGGTGAAACAAATCGTTTGACAATAATATAATCATAGGTTGTTGACTTTTTCCTCGCTTGTCTCTCTCTCTCTCTCTCTCTCTCTCTCTCTCTCTCTCTCTCTCTCTCTCTCTCTCTCTCTCTCTCTCTCTCTCTCTCTCTCTCTCTGACTCCCTTTCTCCCTCCTTCACCCTCTCTCTCTTCCTCTCCCTCTCCATCTCTCTCCCTTTCCCTCTCTATCTCTCCCGGTGTCAGGTCTGGACTTGACATCGAGAATAATAATTCCCTAACCATCCCTGAAACCGATTGTTCTGTCGTGTCCTCCGCAGCAGCTAAATGCTGACAGCGCGAAAATAACCTTAGGGCCTCGTCCTGGCAGTTTCCATTGTTTTCGCCCCAACATTAGTTTTATTTATTTCTCATAGCCAACAATGGTTTTATCCCTTTACCGTGGTGGACAATGTGACTGTGAGGATATCGTGCCTGTGCCTCGTAGAACCGGACTTGGCAACAACAGCTTTGTTTTGTGGTTTGTTTGTTTGTTCTTTTGTGTGTTGTTGAGTTGTGGGTTTTTCTGCAGATGCTACATCTCTGCAAACATTAGGTTATGCTACATCTGCGCAAACATTAGGTTTGAAGACTGACGCAAATCCCTATTGCTAGTATTATTACTTGCATGGCCTCCTGTTTGATACAAAAAAGTAAATCTTGGATGAGGAGCTAGGAGCACGTTGTTTACAGTAGCCTATGTTTCTTTGTCTTTCTGCTTTGTTTATCTTTGCCCCATCGTATCAGGGAATCCTGTTTATTATAAGGATTCGTTTCAGAAGCATTACAGTCTCGTCCATTAAGATCTTGTTTGCTTGAGAAAGGTCGTTTCCGTTTGTATCGTGTTACTGGAAAATGTAGTTCATTAGCAGATCCAGCCTGTGGTATTGATTTATCCACGTAGGCCTATATTTACATATGTTTTTAAAAATCTGTAGGATTGGAAACATTTGGAACCCCCCCCCCTCCCGAAAAAAAAAGCCCCTCTAGACACGCATGACAAGCTTAGGAGCAGATACAAGATGAGAAGATAAACTCTGAATATGAATCTTCAGCTCAAAAAGAAAGAGAAAAGAATGGGTGAAAAGGGGGAAGAGAAGAAGAAGAAGAAGAAACGACCCTGGTGGCAAATATTTATCCTGAAGGATTTCCCCGTGCGTGATCATGAGTTTTGAAATCATCGTGGGGAAAAAAATAGTGGTTTTTATGTCTGGTCTGGTTGAACTTAATGAGAAGGATGGAGTTGGGGGGCGAGCTGTGGGGGCTGAGAGGAATTAAATAATGTACAAGATAGAAAGATGGGGAAAAGAGTGAGGACGGTGGAAAGGGGGGGGGGGGCTAGGAGACAAAATTCCTCCTCAAAATCCATTGACATCGCTTCGGTGTTCGTTGAATTTTCTTCCTCAGCATATCGCTAATCCAGAATTTCGCAGTGCTATCTGCTCAGTACTTAAAATTTAACGTCAATTTTTTTCACTTTCACAATATGTCAAGCTCTTTTTTTTATGCAATTCTTTTAATATCTTGATAACGACTCCGAATAATTTTACGATTTTCATTAAGCAGATACATATAGAGCATTTGATTTCTGACCTCATGGTCTTAGTAAATCAAAACAGCAAAAAATGTCAAATAGAACTTTGTAATTCTGAGGTAACGACATGTCTTGAGTTATGGACAAAAAAATGATCTCGTTAACAGCTGAAAAGACTAGACAGAGAGTAATTTTTCCACTACCTTGTTGTCGTCGTCGAACAGACACACCCCCCCCCCTCTTCCTGTTTCTCCTCCTCCGCCTCCTTCAGCTCCACCACCTCTTCTTTTTCCTCTTTTCCTTCATTTTCTACTTCTTCTTCATTTTCTACTTCTTCTTCTT